CGTCCTTGTCTCTCGGCTGTTGTAGTGAGCTCATCTATGAGGAATATACACTTCCCTGAGGAAGCAGACATAAAATGAGTCAGAGGCAGGCATGGCATCATTACAAGACACATACCCTTTAAAACCTGTAAAAATCTGCTATGACACACTACTACCTGAAGTCAAGCACCCAGGGACAGCACTCAAAGAAGGAACATTTGTATGGAATATAGGGTAATATTTTCCTAAGTGTCCTTAAGGGTCCAGCAGAGAAAAAGAGTATAAAGGAAACCTCACTCAAGTTGTTCAGCGCAGTGAGGTTTGAACAAAGTGGCTGAGGGAAGATCTGTCTTGTGGGGGAATTCCCTAACCCCAATAGGCTTTTCCATCTGAAATATGTATATGGAGGTATACCTATCTCAGAGCTGAAAGGGACCTTGAGAGGTCATCAAGAACAGTCTCCATGACAGGACTAAGTACCCTCCCTGACCGATTTGCCCCATATCCTTAAATGGCCTTCTGCAGGATTGAACTCACAACCTTGGGTTTAGCAGGTTAATGCACAAACCATTGACCAATCCCTCCTGTGACCATGCACATGGGGCGGACCCGACGTCTCGAGTCCCCAGACCTACACAGTCCTGGGCTCTTCCTCTGCTGGTGGCGTTGTTCGTTCTATCAGGCATCTTGTTGTCTCTCAAGTCCACATGAGACGGAGGAGAAAGGGGGGCCCGGGCCCGCCCTCAGTCGCAGGCCGCAGCCCAGGGCCCTAAGGACTTGGACTATACTGCAGTCCCAGTTTGGCTGACAGGGTGGTTACCCTAAACGCGTCAGCCCACGGGCTTGGTTCCTCTCTCCTCCTCCTCATCTCCCTTCCCGTGCTCGCCATCCCTCTGCCAGGGTGAGCCCTCCCGGCTTGCCAATTACCTCCTGCGGAGCCTCTCCGGGTGCCTCCCCCCTTTTTCTCGGGACGGCTTTCCCTGTGCTCCCCCTCCTCACTGCCTGGGCGGCTTTTGAATCCCCCACCACCCTGGATGCCTGGTCGGATGTCACCTTGACGTTACCGGCGTATCCCTGACCCCACACCATCATAATGCGGGCTCGACTCCTCCCCCTGCCGGCAACCGCGCCGACGTTCCCCAGTCATGCCGTGGCATGGGAGCACCCGGCGCATGGCCGGTAAGCACTCCCCTGTAGCACCAACAGGGTGCTCACCCCCTGGGGTCCAGTGCGGGGTCTCGTTTCCCCGTCACACCTCCCCAGCAAGATGCACATTGGATATATCACTTTTAAAATGCTGAGCTAGTCCAAGGGAAGCTATAATTCACCTTTACACTCAAGTCAGTAGACGAATACCAAACCCAAACACACAAAAATTGGCCTGGCAGGTTAAATCATAGTTCCATTTAATATAGTATCCTGCTTAACAGGGGCAATGGTATGTTTGAAAAGCTGACCTACTCCTTTCAGAATAAGACGCCGAGGCAATTGCATAATTCTATACAGAGGGAGGGAAGAATATCATTCTGACACACACAAGTGATCAGGTATACCCTGAAATATGAGGATTGATTTTTCCTTCCACCTTTGTTTTCACTCAGTTGTAAATATTAATAATGCCTATCAAAATGGTCTAATCCCTTGTATAAATCACACTGTTGTTCATCTCAACAATGTCCTGCAATCATGAATTCCACAGGCTGAGCATCAGCACCAGGAAAAATTGGAAAAAATATTTGCATGAAAGAGTCATGCAATATGTTCCACTTCTTCATGTGTGATTTAGCAATATAGCACATTTAGATGGTCCACAATGTTTTTATGGATTAAAATTAGCATGTGAAGACATTTTTAAAAGCCACTTTCACATATACATTTGTACTAGGGGATTTTGAAAACAAGGATGCAGTAGTGCCCCTGGGGGGGTTATATGTAGCATAGCAATCAAAGACCTGCCTGGAAGTCTAGAATTCCTGAGTTCTACTGCAGTGTATGCCATTGTTTGGATGAAGTACTACTGTGCACACATATAATTTAAGTGAAAAAGAGAATTCAGCCCACTGTTTTACCATGTGAAATCTGAATGCAGCCATGGATGAATGTCTGCATGTTCAAGTCAACTCTTTCTTAATTATCTAGGATAAAAAGAATTGAAAAGGATGTTGCTTTAATCTTTTGGTTTTTACTCTAATTGAAACTTTTTCCTTGTGAGTAGAGAGAGAACAGGTGCCTAATGAGACCACATGACAGTTCTCACTAGAGATGTAATTAAACTGGGAGATCAATGAGAATCTCCTCTTGCTGGATTCTTGCCAAGTTTTTTTTTTTTAAATACGGCCCAATAAATCTTTCAAACAGGGAATATACACTGGTGGAAGGTGGGGAAAAGATTATATTTTGGCCACATTTCTTATAAGAATTGGCCTGGTCAACATTTCTGGAATGAAATGGGGGGTCTAGGAAAGTGATCCTTAAAAAAAAAAAAAAAAAGATTTCAAAATCTTCTTGAAATTTTCCATTTGTTTAGTCAAAAATATTGTCAAAACTACTGTCAAAATGAAATACAATTCATTTTTTTAATTTACCAAAACAACTTATGAGAGGCAAAGCCAGGAATGAGCTAGCAAGGTTGGTCTGGACACATGCTGTATGCCACGCCACACAGTGATGTATTATGTATATGCCAGATATGGTACAGAGAAAATTCCATTCCATTGAATTTGTTTATTGTAGTCTGCTGCCTATAAAGCCAGCTGCCTTGATTATCAGAGCCCAGTTGTATAGGACTGCTAAAAAAACAAAGAAACCCCTCTAAGACAGCCTTGTTATACCTAAAAATGTCGTTACATTAAAGGCTGATATAATTCATAGGCCTTTCCAGTGAGTGAGTACTGCCCAGTCTCATTGGAGGCCTTCCAGTGGCAGATAGCTTCTATTTCTGGCACTGCAGAGCAATCAAGAGAAAAGTTGGTAGCAGCCCACAGATGTATCTTGCCCCAACCTGAGCCTGGAAGAGAAGTAATTTGGGGATGGGGTGAGAGAAAAAGAAAGTATTTATCATGTTGATGTGTGGGAGGAGACTCAGTTAGAAGGTGCTCAGAGGTCTGGGATATTAAAGTCTTGTGAAGTGGCTTAGTGAACAGATCAAGTGGTCATCAGCATGTAAAAGAGAGTTACCAGGAGGAGGGAGAAAAATTGTTCTTCTTGTCCTCTGAGGATAGGACAAGAAGCAATGGCCTTAAACTGCAGCAAGGAAGGTTTAGGTTGGACATTAGGAAAAACTTCCTAACTGTCAGGGTGGTTAAACACCGGAATAAATTGCCTAGTGAGGTTGTGGAATCTCCATCTCTGGTGATATTTAAGAGCAGGTTAGATAGACACCTATCAGGGATGGTGATGGTGCTTGGTCCTTCCATGAGAGCAGGGGATTAGACTCAACGAGGTCCCTTACAGTTCTAGTGTTCTATGATTCTATGTGATCAAGAATACCTAGGCAATTTATAATGTCTGTGTAATTCATCAGAAATTTCCAGTTTATCACATGGACATAACCTCCACAGACATACAAGCCAGATTCTTAGTGCATCCTTTCATGCTGTTCAACATTCCTCTACATAAATATAACATCTTGGGCTAGCAGTAGGCGCCCAGAACAGGGCAAGTGAAATCATAGATCAGTGTTTCTCAGAAAGGTCTCCAAAATCACTTTGAGAAACCTGTTAACTGGCCACGTTGGTTTGTTTACTTACTGGTGCTGCGGCCAATGAGCCTCCCAGCTCCTATTGGCTCCATTTTGCAGTATGTAGCCAAGGGGAGCTGTGGGAAGCAGCGGCCCGGCCCATGCTACTTCTTATGACTCCCTTTGGCTGCAAATGGCAAAATGGAGCCAATAGGAGCCATGAGGCTCCATGGCCGCGGCACTGGTAAGTGAACAAACTAGCGCAGCCAGTTAACAGATCTCTCAAAATGGTTTCGTTGACCCCTGTGAGAAACACTGTCATAGATTAAAGGTCACTTTCTCTCACCCCCTTTGGTCCTCTGCTGAACGGAGCTTGACCGAGCTTGAGAAATCAGGCTAGTGCACCTGTGTAGGAAATATAGCTGAGAGAGACATAGCATACAAGAATTAAAACAGCAGCAGACAGGCACATTGTACTGAGACTTGTACAGAATACCTTACTTGTAGGGTACAACTAATAATAGGATCACAAAGATCAAAGCAGCAGACTGTTACATGTAACAATTCCTATGTACGCAGCATGTGATTTTCATTTTTTAAACCTCTGCAAAACCACGTGATGGTAAAAAAAATTTTGAATAGATAACTTAACCTTCTATTGGGACTACGAACACGGACAAGCAAAAATTGTTCAACAAATTTCAGGTCTCCATTTTTACAGTGAGGTTCAGACCTTGTTTTAGTCCATATATATATATATATATATATTCCCTACATATATATGTGATGGGTTAGATCACAGATATCCCCTTGGGGTTGTCCCCTGGTGTACTGATCAAGCCACTGATGCCTGACTTCCTGTCCTGCTAGGCCAGAAGTTCTGGTCTCCCCCAGCCAACCCACAGAGCGGGGGTTACTGTCCCCTCTGCAGAGCAATGCAGATGCAGATCCAGTTCAGCTCTGGGAGGGCTCAGCTATAAGACCCACTCAGAGCCCCCAGGAAGCCAATGGCCAAAAGAGACCAAAACCCCAAATAAATCCCACTTACCCTGTCTGTATAAAAGTTTTATGCAGAGAAAGCTCATAAAGATGTCTTCCCCCTTTATCAATGAAAGAGAGAGATTCACAATGGATGCTTTCCCCCACCCCAGGTAACAATTACTTGGGCTTAGTAATAAAAGTGTTTTAACTGAGTATAAAAAATAGGTTTTAAATGATTGCAAGTGAAAACAGACAGATCTAAGTTACTACGTTAAAATAAATAAAAGACTCCAGCATACTAAGAAACTTGTTACATGTTACTAAACAGTTGTTCTTATCTCAGGTAAAATGCTTCAAGTCAGAGGTGATCTTTACTTTGGCATGAATCTACAGCTTTCAGGGTTCTCTGGAGTCCTTGGTTTTTCGGTTTTCTCATGTGTAGCCTCTTAAGGTGGGCGAGGAAGTTTCAAAAGCCATCTAAGGACAAAGACCTAGTTACTTTCCAGTCCTTAAATAGGCTTTCCCCCAGGGCAGGATTCCTTTGTTTAGTCTCCTCATCTCCATGGAAGAGTACTAGATTCAAAATGGATTCCAGTACCATGTGGTAGGGTCACAGGTCTTTCTAGGACCAATCACGGTTTTGGCTTACAGGAAAAATAAAACCATACACAGGTTGTTGGTTTGAGTACTCAGCCCTTAATTTCCTAAAGTATCACCACTAATGGCCCTCATTAGCACATTTAGAGTTAAACATATTCAGCCTTCATATTTCTAATTTCACATACAAGAATTATGCATGCACAAAAATAGGCTATGCAGATTCAGCAAATTGTAACTTTAAAATTGATGTTACAATGACCAGTTGTGCATAAAGCATGTTTGAGTTATGTATATTCATTATATGAATATTTTAAAGCATGGGGGGGTGACATAACTGTCCATCTACTAAAGTATTTATACTGATGCCACTGATACCAGCTATTGGCATTTCTATATAGTTTTCTTTCATCCCAGAATATATCATTATTGGAAAGTGCTACAGTACTTCTGGTAATGATATTACAATGTCAGAAAATGTAGTAAGACTTTACCATAACGATCCAGGTAATGAATGTTGAATTACAGTTGAAATCCTGGAGAAGTACTTATGTCATCCTCATTCATGGCAAATGAGTTCATTTTGATTAATGTTGTTAATATAAAATACCAGTGGAAATCATAGTGATTAGGTCATTAATGTAAAGAAAAATGCCCAGCTGACAGACTGATACTATAGAATATCAGTTGTTACAGTCCTCTTTCTTTAGATCAACTTTCACAGAAATGACAACAAATATTTTTTGTTTAAAAGTTACTACTTCATGGATGAGCGAGGACATAAAAGTCAGTTCCAGCGAAATATTATTACTGAAAAAACTTGTTTTATATATATATATATACACATACACATATACACACACACACACACACACACATACAAACAGTTGGGCAAAATATACTGCAGGTAAATGCAACTCTTTCTTAAATACCTCCATCAGGTAATTCACATTCACAATTTCATATATCTTCATACATAGTATTTAATATATTTTCATGGAATGTAGGAAGAAAGCATAACTGATACTGTGGAATATTGGACTTATCATGTTTTTGGTGCAAAACAGTTCCCAGTATTGAAACCATTACTGAAGAAATATCAGAGATAGTTAAAAGAAATACATGCAGATGCTGTGTATAGCGTTTCCTAAAGCCGATGAGCCTGATTCTCCATTGTTTTACATATTGGGTAGTAATTTACACCTGTTCAAACTGAGTGTGGAACACTTACAGATCAAAAGAGAAATGTTTTATGTTCACTTTGCACAGGTGTACATGGCTACACAAAGCATAGGTACTGAAAAATCTGAGCCATGATATTCAGATCTAATTGTAGGTGGTGCTGATAGCAATATTTATAATTGAGGTCATGTCTTCACTTCCCAGAAGATTGATGCTGCAGTGGTCAATCTTCCAGAGTTTGACTTGGCAGGTCTAGTAAAGACCTGCTAAATCAAACACTGAGGGCACTTCCATTGATGCTGGAACTCCTACTTCTCACAAGGAATAAGGGAAGTGTATGGGAGTGTTTCTCCCATCAATTTCCTACTGTGCCAAAGTTTGGTTTAAGGTACATTGACCTCAGCTACATTTTTTGCATATTTGGAATTTCAAACCTTAAGCCGACCTTCAGTAATCTGTAACCTATCATTTAAATCAGCTTCTTTACCAGAACACTGAAAGATAGCTAATGGGATACCAATTTTTAAACAGGGTTCTAGAGGTGAGCAATTACAGTGAAGTAAGTTGTCATGAGATTAGAGGGAAGGTCCTCTCATGGATTGGTAACTGGTTAAAAGATAGATATAAATGGTAAGTTTTCAGAAGGGAGAGAGGTAAGCAGTGCTGTCCCCCAGGGGTCTATAATGGCACCAGTCCTACTCAATATATTCATAAATGATCTGGGAAAAAGGGGTAAACAATGAGGTGGCAAAATGTGCAGATGATACACAAGCAGATGGCTGCCAGATGTCATTGGCTTCAGTCCAGTTCCTCATGAGAAGACCCACGGAACTCTTCCAAAGTCAATAAAGCTCTTGCCGGTGTCTACAGACTTGGAGCAACTTGCAGGACTAGGCTCAAATCTGCTCGCTCTGAAGTGAAGGAGAGGTTTTACACTGATTTCAGTGGGAATGGACCCAGGCCCTATCTTCATACTAAATCCAAATGTGAGGTCAGTAGGCAGCACGCATAGTTAGGAAATAGGAAAGTTCCACATGCATCAGGCATTGTTTTTTATCCAAGAATTACTTGAATACTTTTTTAAATATTACTGGTGGTGTCTATTAATATCTGCAGTAGAAACATAAGTTCAGAAATTATATCTTTAATTAATTAATAAAGATTTAAAGCTCTTTGGAGCAGGCATCCTGTCGCCTGATTCTCATTTGTCTTTTGTACCTTTAAATCCACTTTCAGACCCCTTTCCACTGCCAGACAGGTTTGTAAATTAATTTTATAAACAATCAACATTCACAGACTATTTCTTTAAAGAACCAGCTACAGGGCTGGGTAGAACCGGAGTTAACATCATGATGTAAGCCTACTTGAGTCAATCACTGAAATACTTCAAGTAATCAGAAAATGATTCCACTGTAGTCTGAGAATTACTAACATGGCATAATTCAGTTAACATAATAATTGGTACCTTATTGATTAAAACATTTGTTAAATCAATGAACATACTGCATGCTGATCACTGAGTAGCTGTTAAAAAGCATTGATTTACCTTCTGTAAAGCAATGCTATTGAAACAAAGAAGCTAATAAGCTGACATGTTTTATTCAATAAAAGGTAGATTCGATGAGTGAACATTTTTAAAGTTATGTTGCGAAGTTATAAAGAAAGTAGACTGAATTTGAAAATAATTGTAATATTTTATGACTTTTTTCTTCATTAAAAGGTTATCTGCAAGTACAGTGTATTATGTATATTTAACTTGCGATCTCTCTCGGTTTCAAATATTGATGATGATGATTTTTTATCCATCAGTTCCTGTGTGGAATGAAAAGTTGACTGCTATCATTCGCCTACATTAATCTGATAAAAAATAATCCAACCAAGTAGGGCTGCTGGTGGCAGGCCCCCAAACTCCCCCTACAGCCCCGCCCCTTTGTTGAAATCCCACCCCCACCATGGGGAGGGGGAGGCAGGGCAGTGCACTGAGTATGCGCCCCTCCCCTCACCACGGGGAGGGGAAGAGAAGGGAGGAGGCAAATGCACCCCAGGCTCCCTGGCCCAAGCACTGGGTGCAAAGGAGTGCCTCATGGCTCTAGCTTCCCTAGCCCCCAGAGCCAGGGAGGGTGGGCACTGGGGGCAGTAACCCTCCACCCCCAGAATGCCTACAACTGGCATTCTGGGGCAGAGTGTGGGCGGGGCCATACCTGGCTGTTTGGGAAGGTAATAAGGCCATGCATCCAAGACGGCCATGCATCCAAGCCTAGGAATAAGCTATTATTGGGAAAGTAGGTTGGTAATGAAAGGGAGTCATGTGTCTTTAAGATGAAAACAGCTGTTTTGTTACGTAGCTAGCAGCAGCTAAGAAACCTGGAAAAACTAATACTCAAAGGCAAGATAGTCCACGTTTCTGGCAGCTGTCACACTAATGTCCCCAAAGCCCTTCAGTTCAGCTGTATCTTGTGTTCTTCCTACAAAAGCTCATGGTAGTTTGGAACACACTATGGCCGTGTCCAGACTCAAGCCGCATTCTTTCGAAATTATTTCGAAAGAACGCGGCTTTTCTTTCGATGGCGGTAAACCTCATTTCACGAGGAAGAACGCCTTCTTCCGAAAGTTCCTCTTTTGAAAGAAGGCGTTCTTCAATGTACAGAGGCCGTCTTCGAAAGAGAGCATCCAGACTCGCTGGGTGCTCTTTCGAAAAAGCGGATTTCTCTTTCGAAAGATCCGCCTGCAGTCTAGACGCGATCTTTTGAAAGAGCCTCGTTCGAAAGAAGCCTGCAGTCTAGACATAGCCTATAAGATTGAGACATGCCTGTGTGGGCCAGAGTCTCATCCGCTCCTGGAGTTGAATGGAGGTGGACTGGGCCCAGTCTCTCCTTGAATAGTAGCCTGGGTCTCAGGAGAGCTGTGCTAGCTAGGCTGCCTATGGGATTGTGGAGTGGAGGCCTGCTTTGTGGGCCTGTCAGAAAGGCCTGGGAGGGTTATGCCTGGTCTTCATTGCATGGCAAAATTTGGAACTGCTCCTTCGGTGTCCTCTGCACTCTTGTGTATGCTGCAGCTGGGACAGGCTCAGGCATAGGCCACACTGGAAGAGACTTTGCATAACATCTGCCTGCTACACACTCGTGGGGGTCATTCCAATCTGACCCCTAATAATATTCTGAGTGAGCAAGGAGCAACAATTTATACAACTAAGTAAGTAAACTAACAGGCATGTGAACCCAGATGTATGCTCTTTATATAATTGCACTGGCACTTCTACTACTAGGTCACCAGAAAAAGCAGGGGAAAGCAGGTATGTCACAAGAGAATATGAAGGAGAGAACTTCCAAACAGAGAGCAAATCTTTAGAGAGACTGAAGTCTGTGTCAAGGCAAAAGCATCTGTCTTGCCCTTTACTGTTATAGGCTGAGCACCTTGACAGTCCAGGACTGCTCTGAGCTATATAATTTTGGCATAAAATATCCAGTTGCCCTTCTACTAGTATGGTTTTCCCACTGAGCTACTTCATCCTTCACTGAGGAAACAGCTCTTTGTTCCACAGTCACTGCTGGGAAATTTGGGTCTCTATGCTTTTTGCCTGCTTTTTCTTCACATGGTGAGTACCAAGCTAATCCTTTTCTGGTCTGAGCTCCTACAATGCAATTTTCAGTTGTGCATCCAAGTGCTAAAGGCATGCCTAGCCACAGAGGTGGTATTCT